TAACCCTCTTTCACTGGATGTGCCCTCTCCATACTCATTAGGGGAATGGACGCGTGGGCAGGACGGTGACAAATATCCATGCAATCGCTTAGCATGAGATGAACGATATACAACTAATTCCATGCTACTCTGACCTCTGACGTGTATCAAGTTGGATTCCAGATTATCGTGTCAAGAATAAGTCGTCAATTGCATTCCATCCACTTTGAATTATCCGGCGATTTTAGGGCCAACAGTTTGTTTCAGAGCTGGTGTTCTTTCTTTAGTTGATAGATGAAGGTTTCTCAGCCGTTTTATGTTACTTCCATTTATTATCTCATTTAGATAGCTCAACGACGGCCGCAGCACCTGGTCACTACAACACCTATTCCGGTTACAGACCTTCAAGTCGTGCAGGATACTACCGGAATGGTTTGGATGGATCCAATGGAATGACAGGTTTACATGCACTGAACTGCCCGACTGTCTGTTCAGGTGGACCCTGTGCCTGCTACACGCTTACAGAAAACAGTGTAGTTCAGACATCAGTGCAGGCTTATGAGGGAGCTGAATGCAACTCAGCGATATTTGTCCCATCATATATAGCTCCAAGATCAAGTTTAGATATACCATTGCCACCCCCACCACCCCCACCACCCAGAAGTCCTGTTATTCCTGGGTCTGGAATTATTTCCAGAAAATCGGTTTTCACAGACGAACCGACTGCACAGGTGCATCAATCGCAAACTCCAGACTGCTTCATGCCTACTAGTTCTCCCTTTGTTGGAACAGCTAAACAATCTCAGAATATATATTCTCAGCCGCCAGGCACCAACCGGTTACCGAAAGCAGCCAGTGAAATGAACGACGACCTGCCAAACGGATCCATTACTCCAGTCAGAATTGACCTCCGTAAGGCTAGTCTGAGCGGTTTGAGCAATGGAAGCGAAGAAGAGCATAAACAACGTGGTAAACCAGCTGGTGCTGTTCCAGTTCTCCCACCACTTGCCATGAAGAAGATGGAGACCTCTGGTATGAACGGAGAGCCAACATGATTCTGGACACAATCATATCTATCTCAGATCAACTTGCTTACCTCAAAATCAGAACGCCAGGCCACCGCTTTTCATGGTACAGTGTGCGCTGTCACAGAAGAGTGATATTTGTTCATTCACGTCAACTCCGATACCCGATCTCTGCAGACTCGAAAACAAGCGTTTCACTTTTCTATCAGTATTTCAATGGTCCATTTAGTTCAGAATTGCTCAGGCAATAGAATATCAAGCAGACATAGAAACAGCGAGCATCTATATACATCATATATACTTGTGCTTTAGACCTGGATTCAGACAGCTGCTCAAAATCGAAAACATGAAACGAGCAGTTTTCTTTTGCTAACCGACCACTAAGCTCCTTCAAAATAAAACTCAGTGAGAACGTTGCATGCTTCTCAAAATCCGGTCCGCATTACTTCAATTTGTGAAACATTCTTCCATTCACTGTTCTTTTTAACTATCCTGTCCTGAAATTAGCCATAACTTCGATCCCGTGCTTCCTCCCACTCTTTCGCATAGGAAATCCCATCGACTTTGTAAATGTAAATAAGAAAAACGAATCAATCATGTTACAAAGCGCTTTGAAATGGACATGGTTTGGAGGCTTAATAATTATAAACCGTTTATATATGCCACTTGCCTTTTATTCCGAATCACCAAACAAACCCGTGAGACACAGATGGTGAAATATAAAGTGCAAACCCGTATCATAGTGATGCACATTTGAATTCTAGGTAAAGTCGTCCACCATCCGCACTCACGCCAAGAAATTTTTAATATGACAACGAAGAAGTTTTTACTGTTATTTTGTTGATCTATTGAACAGTATTCGAACAGTTAATTGCAAAAAGATAATTGCAAAATAATTGGGTTCCTATCTCCAATTTCGTAATGCGATTGGTGTATATTTTTGTCAGATGTGTTTGATAATTCCATTGAAGAAGAAGCAGGAAGTACACCAAACTTCTAAAACACACACGGTACGTTATACAACCGAACGTCAAATTTGATCCCACACTTGGGTTTCCCTCAAGCTTACTGTTTCGAGCCTCA